CATGTCTTTTCCGTAAGCAGAACTGACTTTTATTGAAACAACGTTGCTTTCGAACATTTCGGTATGACCGCCGAGGCCAGACATTACGCATGTTTCTGTCTTCAGCTTAGGTAAGCCTAATTTCTGCGTCAGTTCTTCACGAATTACTGTTTTTTGCGCTCCGGTGTCGAAAAAGAAGAGCACCTTTTCGAAGTTTTCGGTGTTGTGGTTCCAAATCATCCCTTCAGCAGTCATTAGGACGATTTGCTCTCCTTTTTGGACATTAGCATCTGTTTTTTCTATGCCAAAATTCGCTTGGTTGGCTTGATTGGGTCGCGAATTCGTTTTATTTCTTTGGCGTAGATTGTACGGGGAGTTATTTTTCCAGTTCACTTGTGGGCGCTCATCTGGTTTCTTGAAAGGAGCAGAATACTGTTTTCGAGCAGGTGGCTGTGATCTAGATATCCCACTTGAGCTCTGTTGTCTACTTGCAAAGCATAAACCAATGTGGTGTTGTCTACTGCAAGAGGCACAGTTCGGACGTTGACACTCCGAACTAAAATGTTTATTGGAGAAGCATTTCCAGCATAGTTGTTTTTCAATCGCTATATTACGTCTCGCTTGAATATCCGTAATAGTTCGGCAATTTGTTGCAAAGTGACCGCCTTTCTCACAAAATGCGCAAAGCGGACCATTTATTGTTATTTGCGGGCTTTTTGTTTCTGCCGTTGGTTCGACTCTTTTTTGATGTACTTTCATCCGTGACTGCACATAGGTTTTTGCTGAGATTTCTTTTTCAATTTTTTCCATTATTTCCTCAACCGGTACTTCTTCTTTGCTTTTGATCGCGATAAGCACGTTTTTGACTATATCGTAAGGAAATTTTTCTAGGATCATCTCTGTCCACATGGCGTCGTTCGTTTTGCGTATATCTTGACCTGCTGACACCATCTGGTTCACCAGCATCTGGATTCGGTCGAAGACGTGAACGCAACTTTCCGCTGTTTTGGTCGCTGGAGTAAGTAAGGTAAGTCTGTGGACTATTCTTGCCCTGTTTATTGGCTTATTGCCGTATTTCTTTTTCAATGCATCAACCATCCATCCATAATTTTGTGGTATTAGCTGTATGCCTTTAATCGCATTGTCTGACTTTCCTCTCAAACTGTCCTTTAAAAACAACATTTTTTCCACTGTGCTAAGTGTGGTGTTCCTGTGCACTAACGTGTCGTAGATTGCCCAAAATTCTGGAAAATCCTCCTCCATCCCGTAGAACTTTGGCACTTCCAGTGCGGGCGTTTTCACATTGTTACAGGTTTGTATTTGTACCGTTTGTACTTGATTTGCCTCGGTGTTAACATTCCGGTTAGTTTGTATATTTGCATCGGTGCTTTCGTTCCGGTTTGTTTGTATATTTGTGTCGGCGCTATCATTGCTGTTTTCTGTTATCCATCCGTTATCTTCGCTGATTTCCTGCTGTTCATTATCGTTATATTGAATAAAATTTCCATTTGTGACTGCTGTTGGATTTGGTTGCGTAGGTACAGTAAGTCCTAGTTTGCGTCCCAGTCTATTGCGGGTGCTAATGACTTCCGTAAGCCTTGCTCTGAGCATAAAAATTATTTCAGTTCCTGCTCCCAAAATTTCATTGAAGTTTGTGTCATCTTCAAGTTTCTCTAGAGCGTCGGAGAAGTCTTCTCTTTCGCCCGTATCTTGAATCCTCTCATATTCTTTTTTGATTTGAGCGACGAGCTTTTTTAGCTCATCTTTTGCAACAGTTACCTGGTATATTGCTTCGTTTATTAGATCAGCGGCTGCCTGACTTTCGTCGTAGGCTTTTTCGTCCTCGGGGGGATACACTGGTTTTTTTGTGTAGTCCTTGAATGTGTTTATAAGTGTTTTTAGCGTCTTGGCGCTAATGGTGAGCGGATTTTTCAGCAACACCAATTCCATCTTGCTTTGACAAGATGTACAGGTTTTGACCTGTTAGTAAAGATTCGGCGGGTTTTTTATTTCCCGGCCGATGCACCAAAATTGTGGTGGTTCAGTGGGTTTTTGGGGGACTCTTCGATGACTCAGCCAACACTTGGGGAGTAAGAATGTTTATCAGAGCACAAATACAGCCGGCTTATTCCGGCACACGATACAGTGAAGAGTGAGGGGTAAAGTTGGCCAGCAGGAGGCTGGCCCTAACGGGCACAAAGAGTCCGCCAGATGGCGGACTCTTTGTGAAAAGTTTACATGTAAACACAATGGTCACAAAGAGTTACAATTTGGGCATGGAGTCGTGTGTTTATCACGACATCATAGCGCGCAGAGTTACTTGTCAAGCAAATCATAACTATGCAAAAAGTCGAATTAGCGACCCATTTCTCCGTGCCGAAAGGCGCGTGGACCCGTTTGACGCGCAAATTTTGAGGGACCCGCTTATCGAACCGGCTCGTCCTTGTACATGGTGGGCCTACACGCTGGAGCGGTATGTTATGCAAAATTGCAGCCCGATAGCTTAGTTGCAGCTTCCGCTATGAATTTCGTGACAGGACACACACAAAAAAACAGACGGCCTTAGCGCGTTATTATAGTAGGATGATGATACTAAACTTATGTAGGGCTAGGGCCGTACAACTCTAAATTTTGATAATGTGCTAAGCAAGTAAGCACTAATGTCTTCTGTGTGATTTTCAAACAGTGGCCGATATTGTTGGTAATCGTCTAACGGTTGGAAGTCCGTTAAACGTGTTCGCTTATATTATTCCCAAATTCATCCAACGTCAGCTCGTCCAAAGATCACTTCAGCAACTTTTACTCTCTTCCAATCTTCCGTAAGCTCGTAAATAAGATACATATAAATACCAACTTGGTATACTGCTATACATCGAGAGCTAGGGCCCGTATACCTTAGGTCTTGGTGATGTGCAGAAAAAGCAAAAACAAATAGTTTTCTGTGTATTCTCTCAAAAGTTAGGGCATATAAAAATCGTGACAATGGCGTGACCGCGCGCGAGGGCACGCACTTCCAGACCGCATTTTCTTGGTTTTTATCTCTACTCAAATGGTTTTTCTGCTCACATATGACAGTTTTCAGTCACTGAAAGTAACTGGCGTGAGCTTTGAAGTCATCTTTTTTTGTTTGGCTGTTCTATGCGCCTTTGTGCGCAAATTCATCGTTACGATTTTGAGAATAACCTGTTCATGAGATGGTCCAAGCTTTACAGTCTAACATTCAGACTGCCAAAAGCGTTCACCACATGCATACTTCAATATACCCCCAATGTCCGCTCGCCCAAAGGTCACTTCAGCACCTCCTCCTCTTTTCCCCTCCAACTGGAAATTAAAACGTACGTAACATCAATTTGTCATGTCATACATTAGGCCATTTTTGATTAACCAATAAATATTGTCTTCTCTGTAATTTTTAAACAGTATCCGAAATGGTCTGTTCCTGAAAGAAGGACCATGTCTTCAACAAGAAAAAGTAAGTAAAGGGACAAGGCTAACCTAAGTAAAAGTAAAAAACACAAAACTAAAAAGATTATCGGCTTGGTTTCTACCTTTGGAAGGAAAGAGAGTGATTACAGTCAAGTGCTTATGGTGAGCGCTAGAACTATATACGGGATCTGTCATAAGGTGACAAAACCGGAGCTACAGAAAGCATGGCACGCTCCGGTTGATTGTATAGCTCAAACTGAGGACCATTTACCGCGAAGTTTTTAAAAAAATTTCCTTTTTTAGAAGTAAATTTCCAAAAACTATGTTAGGAAAATATAACATGGACGCATGCACTATCGCAAGAAAAGCAATGAGAAAGCACATAGGATCTGTTATCTTTTCTTAACTTGATAAAAACATCTGTGCAGGTAGATAATTTGAACATCAAGGATGCCTCTAGAAAAACTAAACCCCATCAATTGTTACTCCAAAATCTTACAGATAAATAGCATTTTTGACCCAGATTCCTTCCTACAGAGCCTCAACAGGTAAGTCCTTTTCTTCCATTATGACCAGCCTAAAATCTTATCAGGTAAACGCAAGGAGTGTCAGATAGGTCAGTATTCACCTGCAGACGGATTTCTAATGAGAGGCTCTATCTGTGAAATTTTAGGATTGTTCCCTAGTAACATTTTTGAAAGTATGTCGAAAATTTCGCTGCACACATGCAATTTCTTTTTCCCAAACCCGATCGATGAACATATGATGCATGAGAATTCACCCATGTGTGGCAATAAAATGTCAATATCAACACATGACTATTCATTCAACCGTCGTAACATTCATAGTCCATGTGTCTTCTGTACAAAAATAACTACATATAAAGACACCAGTGCGTCACCTCTGCTTCGCAGAGTCTCGCACTGGCCCTACTTTCTGTATGCCTTGCTCATTCCCGCATAACAGCGACATTGAAACTTACCGCGCTATACAGGCTATCACGAATGAATTGTAAACAACTACTCATTCCGAGAGCTTTTTTGTGTGAAATCGGTATTTTCGCGTGGATGAAAATTTTCCGAAAAGAATGAATGCAAATTTAAACCGATTTTTGGACATTTTATGGTTTGGTAGTCGTCATAACGACGATGATCACCGTGGGCTACATCTTTGTGCAAAAATCTTCCCAAATGATTAGCTAAAATCTTGACAAATTGAACATTTACGCAACTGATTTTTCTCGGCGCCATTTTCGTAAAGTAATCAACTTTAGTTCAATTTTTTGGGCTAAAGTCCATGGCTTGCACATTAGCTTGTTAATCATATCCATGAATTTGCAAAAAGTGGTGGTACAGGCCCAACTTTGCTGGCCAGAAGCCAAGTGGATCCGTTTGCAGCGCAGTTTTTGAGGGATCCACTCAACGGATCCGCTCGTGCTTTTGCATAGTGGACTTTCATGCTGCTAGCATGCGCCATACAAAATTTGGGCTCAAGAGGTATGCTGGAACTCGCTTTACGAATTTCGTAACGGACAGACACACACACACACACACAAAAACACGTAAACAACCCTTAGCCCGTTATTATAAGTCATGATGGTACGGAAAAGGTACGTATCGATAAGCCGACCACAACAAGAAAATGGGTAGTTACTTGATATCACGGATCAGTTACCACGAACTGGGAAACATTGAGAGAGACGACGAGAGGAAAGCAAGAATCGGACAGGATAGAGCTGACGGTAGAAAACTTCTGCATAAATATTTAAGAGACTTTTAAAAAGCGAGAAGCGATTGGGAACTACTAAAAAGTGGGAGTTTGTTGAAGAGTATGTCCCGATGATGACTGATGTGGACGATTATGCGGTCAGCTTCGTTCCGGTCATGCATCGCCTTTACTCAACCGAAGGGAGCTGGGTTGGCTGATCGTGATGCTGCAAGTAAGATGGATTCAAGATTTATACAGAACACAAGCCAGTCGAGTTCTGAGCAGTGCCCAAGCAAATCTGTCACTAGGGTTGTAAAAACTTAGTAGTGAAGATAAGTTTGCCCAAATGGCAGCATATGGTCTTCAGACCGAGAGTGCAATCCTGAAGTCTCGTCCAGTACCGTACTTTTTCCAGAAGGACCACTCGGTGTTAGTACAGACACGGTACAGAACAAGAGTTCGGAATATCTTTGCTATATACAAATCATCTAGCTGCCTCCTGAACGGGTCAAATGAAGCTCATGTTTTACAAAAATATGCACAATACGCAAATTTGCCTGGACATGGAATTAGAGAACCACACACAATTTCAACAAGAGCAAGAACCTAACTCGTAACTGTAATTATGTAAGAAAGAAAATTTGCTTTCAGTTGTTTTGGTCCAGTGCTGGTCAAGAGACAGTTTATTCTTTAAATCCCCTGGTTAGAACTCCACCGCAGGAGCAGTCCCACGCTCTTAAGTAAGAGCAAAGCAGAAACGAGTAAATCGATCAACCAAAATAGCACGCAATAAATTCAAAAGAATTTCGCAACTCTCACATCTCGATGTTTCAAACAACAAATGGTCAAAAGCAAAGCACAGCTGATATATCACACTTTTCTCTAAATTTACTGCGATGTAAAACGATGTAAACACCATACGCAGAATTGTGACAAAAACGATACGTGCAAAATACTGCACTAACAGCTATTAATGGTGATAATTTTCTGGTACTACCGTTCGAGCACTTTATAGAGTACAGAAAGCGAAACCCAATTTTGTGCCTGACAAACTTCAAAAAAGAAACGTAATCAAATATAAATCTGCCTCATACCTGTACATGTGGTGCTGGACTAAGTTTGCAGTGCACAGCCGGATTAATGATGGAAGCTTTCCTCTGGGGTACAGTATCCGGACGAGGAATCTAGAATATTCTTTAATTCTATCTTCTTCGCCACAACCGATGCGTGCAAGTTTACCTGCAGGTTAGTCTCCGCTTCAGGAGAACTCGGTTCAGGTGCACCGGCAGCGGGTGCTTTTGGTGCTGGCACAGCCGCCGCTACCGGTGCCGCCATCGGATGCGGTAGACGTCCCGGTACCGCTTGTTTGCAGCGATCCTTATCCATGGCATAATCACCGGAGTCAAAGAACTTCTAGAAAACACTCCAATACACCCAAAGAACTTCAAAAACTCTGATCGTGCGCTACATAATCACACATATATCAAAAGATGTTTACCCTCTGCTGCAGTTTTTTCTGCAGAAATGAGGACGCGGGTCGAGCAGGCAGGCGTCCCTGTGCGGCCAGTTTGTTCATCAGCTGTTGTTCTTGCTGCTTTTCTACGGTTAGACCTTCGGCCAGATCTTCAGGCATTTCACCGCTTACATCGCTCCGCATGATCTTCTGAATAAGATTTCTTGTCTCGTCCGCATTGCTTTTACGAGATATACGACGAAGAGAACGTCGATTGCGACAATAACAAACCAAACATTAACAAAAGCATACATAAATCATACTGGAGACCTCAAGGTAGAATATTCGAATATTTGTGGTTACAAAATCGCTCGCATCAAAACCGTGACTCGACAAAGTGAACTATAGTAGGTTTTGGTGGTGTAACTACAGACCCACAGGTACACTGTAACCCCAACCCCGACCCTCGATTCCTGCCTAAGTCCTGAAAACACAATTCAAACACCATCGACATCCTCTCAAGGAAATGGACAGGGATGGGGTATTCGAAGCGTTTTCAGGACTTAGCGCATGAATAGAAGAAGAATAGAGAATACAGAGAGTTTGGGGCACGATGTACTTGGGTCTGCTAGCTAACACCACCAAAATTTGACAGGGTCCATTTTGCCAAGCATGCCTAGAGACAATCTGAAGAGTGAACCATTCCGTTCTATGGAGTTGGACGCTGTGATTGGGCAAGAAAGGAGAAAAAAGGGAATTCACATCACATGTAGAGCACGAGGATACTCCCATAAAAAATGGAGCCTATAGCATTTAAGCACATAAATACGTACTTGATAGACTTGAACGTTTCTTGATAAAGAATTTCTCCTTCCCTACTTACATTAATCAAGTTTTGGACAATAGAATGTGCTGAAAAGAATGAGAACCAGACAGTCAATAAGCTGTAGCTAGAATAGAATAGAGAACAAATGATCAAGCCAGATGCATATGTCTGAAAAGCCATTCGTAAAAGCGCGACTTTATGCTTCTCAACAAACGAAAAAAAGATCAGCTGGGAAGAAAGGAGTGATGAATCGCAGAAGAACGAATGCGTGACTAAGGAATCCGCCTCATACATCAAAAATTCTTCTTCTAAAATTATCCACTCCATAGACTATAGTCACGAGATTAGAATAAATCATTCACATATATAATCTCTAGATAACAATGAGCGGATAAAATATGTACGAAGGCAATTCACTTTTTCAAAGAATAACTACCTCTGTAATAACTATCCTATAGATTCCATAACAGCCCCCTTCCATTAAATCACATGTTCGGAGCAATACCATCGACGAATAAATGGTAAGACCAGTTCCAGTATGACTACTACCCGAAATGGGCATGTATTGCATAACAACAAGGGGAATAAGACCTCAGTGCACCTATTTCTGAACAGCGGGGCAGGAACAGAATGATAATTACGAGAACAAAACATCGAACGTCATTGTAATGTCGAAAGAGAAGAGAATGAGAGTTCAGCTCAGTGAAGTCATCTCGGGACTTTGACGGTTGCGCGCAAAAGGTAAACAAATCGCAAGTGACACTCCACTACGCAGGAGATGCTGCAGAAAATGATTTTGCTTCAAAGTTCGACAACATCCAATCATGTGCGGCAAATTGATTGCTAATGTGAGAGTTATGGTTATATTATGCAACACATTATTGCATGAGTCAGCCAAGAAATCGAAATTTGAGGAACTTTTTATAGTCATCAAATAAATGCAATTTTCGGAAGCCATAAAAAATGTTTAGCTTTGATAAACAGTTTTAACAGAAAAGCACAATTCTTGGATGACTCGCAGTGTCATGTCTAGGCAAATCTACGTACCGGGGTTTTTTTTAATAAAGAAATTAGTTTGGGTACCTAAGTCTCTCATGTGGAAACTACTGGGAAGCGATAACTGAGCCATTGAACAAAAAAAAAACCAGCTCGTATGACCCACTTCTGACTGAGAAATTCAACTTTGAAGTCTCGCCCAGTACAGTAGTCTTCCAAAGCGGACCAATCAGGGTCTCTGAGTACTGCACTGGGCGGGAGCAAGAATGAATTTCTTGAATTAAAAAATGTGAGCTCCGCTTAAACTAGTGGCTTAGCCTCCCAATCAGCATCCATATTGAAAGTCACTGCATAAATTTGCCAGATTCAGGTTCAGGCCATGTTGGTACCATACAAATCGCTTATTTCGTCAATACTTTCTAAACTAAAGCACAACCTGCACGTGACATAGAAAATTTAGATGTTACGAATGCAAATATGGTCAACATAGCTTTCCCACACAACATGGACGACATGCGGCTGTCATGTGAAATTATTATTCTCCCATAGATAGAAACGCCGTTCACACGGACGTGAGATAAGCATATTCTTAGCTACACTGTATCTAGCAATCCATTTGTGGGGGGAATATTTGGAATATCTCAGGTTAAAATACAGAATTTTCAAGGAACTATAGCTGAACTTTGTTATGAGTGTCTGATTGATGCAAAAAACTTATTTCCACAAATATACTTTTTGATAAAGCTGTTTTAGCTGTTTTTTTACTATAGTTCTAATGAGGAGTGTCGTTGAATCGTTGATGTTGAAAGTCTGCCCTTACCTTCATGACTCATATTCAGACATTAAGAAATTGATTATTCCAGTAGGATACAAAAGAACCATGACTAACGACAGCAACCCTGAGAAGCCTACAAAAAAGAAATGAAGGACCATGTACAATGGTCAGAAAAATCTATTTATCAAATTGAAGTAATTTTCAAAACTACCAGAGTGAGAGCGCATCATCATCGAAATTGCTCTCGTCTCGCTCACATGCATTTAACTCTGTATGGCGCACCACTGAAGCCATAAAAACAAAATTCAATTTGTCTTCTTGTTGCTCCGCAAACATTATCGGAAACGTGAACGTGACTTGCGCTATTGTTCATCTGCTACAATTTCAAGCCAGCTGTACTAATGCTGGATATATGGTACACAATAGCAAATATCAATAAATGTAAGTATAATGATGATAGGAAAAAGACGCAAATAAAGATATGCAAAGACCGTCGAAATTATGCTTCAGCTGGTGCAATTGCACTATCCCAGCTCGCAAAATCTGCCAAAGATCTCCAGTCTTCGTGGCTTATTCAGACTCGCTCAAACCTTCATTAAACACAAATTTCTTCTCATTTCTAGACAAATATCCGAAAAATTGGTCGGGACGCAACCGCAGGGATAAATGGAGACATACAATGAAATCAAATTACTTATGTTTACGTCAAAAATGTATCGAGTCTGGGTTCTGTTTATTTGTAATGGATCTAGATTAGATGAGACACGAGCTGTTTACCCACACGGTGACATATAGGATTATCCTCAAAAGGGGAAGATTCACATTGAATCTGCTAAAGAAGCGCATAAGCGGATACTATGCATGGATGACTGAGTGAAGTCAAAAGACGCAATTTTTTTGTCAAATAGACAATTCTTTATTGTTTCATAATGCTCTTTTGATAGACAAGACACAACAAGGAATTGGATGAACTTTCAGTTTTATCTCAAAAGAAGTAATGTTGGAGGCCAAAAAACTCAAAAAATTCAACGAGAAACTCGCACAGATTTCGGTCAACTTTTCAGGAAAACGTGAAAGTTAGCAGGTGGTTACTCCGATTAGTCAGTAAGCAAAAGCACTTTATCTGATATTTTTTGAAATTGCCTAAAATAAAACTGGAATAGCGCCTCTTGAGCGTCTTCTTGGAAAACTCAGCAATAAAAAATTATATAATTTTGCTGCCAACTATCGAGAAGGGTGAGAAAATGTGGTAGATGACCAAAGTCATAGTCAAATGCTGAGGACGAATTGTAATAATTTTGCCGGACACTGATGACACCGAACACGGACGGACGCCATAGCGATAACACCGAACCCGATAAGCTCTCTACGCGAGTATACACAAGGGCGAGCGTGAATGGGTATGGAGCGTTCTATCAGAGGGTGACTAAATGTGACTGACAGAGTATCGACGCGACTAGCGCCCGTTTGTGAACGCAAATCTCACGTGAATATTATCGCTTTTGCCTTTTTGCTGTTACATTCCTTGGATTCGTTCTCGATAGGTAAACATCACATCACATGAGACTTGTCAATCTGTGCAAATCTCATCACATTAGATCTCTTGACAGATGCCACAGCATCTGGAGGATAGAAGCTTGGAAGTAAAGAACGAAAGTTACAGCAGCGGATAAAAGTCGAGCCGCACGCAAGCATTTATAGTGTGTGCTTGACATAAATATTGTAGTTCTGCATTAGTGAAGCATACAATTCTTTTTCTGATTACAGCCTTCAAAAGGCGGAATGTCGTTGGAAAAAGGGTACTTTCATAGAAAAGGTAAAGACATATGCGGCTATATAAAAAGATCCAGGGATCAGAACACAAAACTCGCAAGGCTCACAAGGTGAAAACCCCAATATGTCCTCAAAAATGTTCAAAACGCAACATTTCCATAGTGTAGATTATGCATGCAAAAACGGGGTTTCAATCCAGTTTCGAAACATCAGAGAACATAAGGAAAAATATTCATGCAGTGCAAACAATTCATGAAGTTTTATAAAACGCACATTCACCGTCAAACTGCCAGTCTTATGATGTGTCTGCACAAATTCAGTCGCTGAATGACTGCCTCAAAGTGTTCACTTCGCGGTTGATTGATTTTCTTATGCTTTCTCGTTTCCTCTTTGTTTTAATTTTGTGCCCAAAAAGTTCATAGGTTTGGCATGCTTCAATTTCGGTTATACCATGTTTGATTTCATTTCTAACCCGAGTGAACAAAAACAGTGAGGAACTGATATTAAACTCGTATACTTTTTTAAATTTTGCCTTTGATCAAACTTTCCTGCGTTATTTTTTTCTTGGTTCACCAAGATTAAGCAATTGAAAAAGCAGACGTCAAATTACAAACAGATTTTTAAAGTAGACAAGAAATTCGGTGAACAATAACAAATTTGATTTAATGCAATTACACAGGAATCGGAGGGCCTGGTAGCATCAGAACTATGTACAGATGGTGTTGCCATACTTGTTCTTGACAATAGCTTGCATGCATCTTAGCGTACAGTTCACCTTGCCGCATCACTCCAATAGCGAAGCGGATGAATTGGACCAAATGGACCAAGAGGGGGGGGGGGGGAGTTTGGCATGTGCCACAAGCGACATGATGTGAGTATGGCAGCAAACTAAGTCATCAACGCAGACAGTGTGGATGCACACCATGGAAATTGCATCAGTGTTTCTGAACGGAAAATGTAGGGCGGAAGCAACTGAGAAAGGAAGCCGCATCGCAGCAGCGTCGCTACTTGTGTATTATCTGCATCGGTGACTCAGCCAGTGGATACAAAGAGTCTCCAATTCTAGGGCCTACGCTTCCGCA